TATGCTTTCTAGAAGCAGGTATTAATCAAATTAATCTGTTATCTTAACATAAACTTAGATGATAATTTTGAGGTTTACTTTCATTTGATTGCATCATCATGAGCAAGTATGACATATCCGTTTCTAGATCGAATGAGCTAAATTTAAGATTTACTTCAATTATTTTTATTATAGTAAAGTTCAGTTTCATCTTTAATCTGTTGTTCAGTAATAAATTATAGCATCCAGCTGATAACTACTATATTCAGGATGGTAGGAGCTGAGTATGTCTTTCATTATTATGTAGATATATGTGCTTATGTCTTGACTAGTTGCCTTAAAAATCCTGAATTTTATATATAGGGACAGGAGGGAAGACGGGTGGAGAAGGAGGGAAGGAAGGGGATAGGGGAAGGGGACCTGGGAAGGGAACAGAAGAATGAAGGGGACATAGAAACCAAAGGGGAGAAAAGGAATTGGGAGATGAAGAACAGCAGAAGTAAGTATACAAATATTAGTTGGGTCTTTTTTATCTTATATGAATTAACTAACATACTATCTTGTTCCTTCTTTCACTCTATATGAATTACTTTACATCCTCAATTTCACAGGGTAATAGATAAAGGGCGCTTCACCTGAGATGATCAGACGAGTAAATTGGTATTAATTGATTATAAATATTTAGCAAATTTATTTACCACTCTTACCACTCTTGTACACATCACCTGAAATGTGTACAAGCAGCAGCTGTAGCAGCATAAACTAAATACTGGATTACCATTCTTTACACCTCAACTAATTGTACATGGTTTATTTATATGTGCAGAGAGCTAAAGCAGACAAAGAATGAAGTATAATCACACAATAGTGGACCCTATGTGGGCAGCCCCAGTTGAATTGGACTATTCATCAATGCTTCACTTATTCTGCTAAACACTACTTTCAAAGGCACACAAGCTACAGCAGGGCCTTTAGGCTTTACTATTAACACTTTCTTGTAGTGTTATTCTTTCTGGCTTTCATTTTCTTTTACTTACTCTTAAATATAGACTAGAGAGTATTATTATTATGAAGTATTATGATTGAAGCCAATTTATAGGCATTCAAATGTTTAATAATTTGTGCTTATTGTATTTCATTTACTTCAACTGTTTACTAATTTGTCTACTTTCATTATATAACTTGTAGGCATTCAACATCCGAGATTCATTCACTGAAGGAAGAAATCAATGAGACACCGAAGCAATGAGCATCATTTTTGTGAAGTTATGACATAATTTGTACTATGTTGTTAAGTTGGACACAAATTTTGTTTAGGGTGTGCAAAATAACAAATACTCCTATATGTATAAACTGTACTTTTGTTAATTATAATAATATATGTTGTTGATATTATCTTAAAACGTTAATTTTTTTGTTAATTTGAATTGGAGTGTAAAGAATACGAATAAAAAATGATAATAGTATTTGGATAAAAGGGGTAGTAGAGTTGGACACAGTATAACATTTAATATGGGTTGTAATAACCCATACAGATAGTCTTCCATAACGGTTGCTTTTCATCCGATATCAAAACTTTTTCATAACGGTTCAAATTTACCCGTTATTAAAACCTTCCATAACGGTTCCCGAACCCATGTTAAAAGTACCAGACTTTTAATAGGCGCTGCAACAATAACGGTTCTGAACCGTTATTAAAAATCCATTATAACCGTGATTAAATCCATATTTTCCACTAGTGTGCTGTTAATGAAAGATGTAATTGTTATTAAGTTGAGATGTAACTTCTGTTATTTGAGATGTAATTGATGTTAACCTGATATGTAACTTTTGTTTATTGAAATGTAAATGCTGTTAATTTGATATGTCACTGCGGTTTATTTGAGATGTAATTGCTGTTGAATTCAGATGTAATTTGAAAAGAACCTGCTATTCAATCAATTGTTTACTAACCAGTGTTATTGTCTTAGTGAATTGCTGTATAATGACGACTCAAGCCTGTTTTGAACCATGAGGAGTTCCAAACACATGAAGATGAAAAAGAAGTTGACAATTCAGTAATAGATGCATGGGTAAAATTACTGAATGACAGAGAACACAAAAACAATCATCCCAAACGAGCACTGATACTTTCTACATTGGTCTATGTACGTATCACTTTTCTTATTCATTGAATAAATAGAAAAATATTCATTATTCCGATTCATTTCCATGGTTGATAATAAACAGGCACAATTTGCAGTGTTATATGCAAACAAAGAAGACATGATGGTAGAGAGGTTGGAATTTGAAGTTGATAAACAAGGAAATCTCAAAGATTATGATATGGTAAAATGTTATTATTACTCAAAAAGATAAATGAAATGATTCACTATGAAATAATAAACTAATGAATGCTTTTTATGAATTGCAGGTCTTGTTTCCTGTACACAGAAGTCAGCACTACTATATTTATTGCTTCTATACAAACAAGAATGTAGTTGATGTCATAGACAATAGAATTCTTGAAGACGGGATGGAGTTTAAAGACAAGTATGAGGAGAGCTTTAACCAACTGGTAAACTTATGTTCATGTATTACAGAAATATCAAGCATTGTTAAATTTATTATTTTGTAAATGTATTAGTGTGCTAATGCATATCCTGAAAATAGGTGGAAGGATTTAAAAAGTACTGCAACAAGGTTAAACATCCAGCTGGAAGAATGGCCACATGAAACCCTAGAATCTTGAATATGCCATGGAGGTACAATGAGAATTATGTTGAGTGTGGCATTTTTGTAATGCGTCACTTGGAAACATATCGTGGACAGGGAGACAAGTGGGATTCAGGATTCCCAAGTGCATCTAAAGCTGTTGGAATAAAAGCTCAGAAACAAACACTGAAGAAGCTGAGACTTGTCTATGCAGCAGAAATCATAAGCTCAAAATTCAACATGGAAAGGGAAAATGTTTATAAAAGAGCAAAAGACTTCATAAATATGTAAAGTGGTCTGTTTTTTTAAAAGTACATTCGTTTTTAAGGTGACAGGTGGAAGGTGGCAGAATATTATGGGTATCTCAAAACATTATTTGATATTATTGGTGGAAGGTGGTGGAATATATATTTCCAATAGATTATGAAGTTCTATTAAAACATTTCAAGATTTATGGTTTGTTATTAGTGTAGTACATTATGCAACTTTCATGTATGATCTATGTCACTTTGGCTTATTAAAATTGTTTATGTTATGTATGTTATGAAGTATGTGAATTATGTTTCTTAGTACGTTACTCAAAACTACTATAAAGACTCCAGAGTGCTTTATTCAAGTGATTATGTAAGATGTAACTTCGATCATACCTTATGCAAAAAGTGTATAAAACTATGTAACTCGCGTGATGACTTATGTAAATTATTTTCACAGATAGAACTGAATCACAAAGAACGGGCTTTAGGAATTGTTGAAGTATATTTATAAAATTTAATTTTTTTATTTAATCATTCAAATCATTTACGAAATAATGTTCACTGTGTTTTTCAAAAAAAAAAATCATGCAAATGTTGTTAATGAAAGATGTAATTGTCATTAAGTTGAGATGTAACTTCTGTTTTTTTAGATGTAATTGATGTTAACTTCTGGTTATGTAACTTTTGTTTACTGAGATGTAATTGTTCTTAATTTGATATGTAACTGCGGTTTATTTGAGATGTAATTGTTGTTGAATTCAGATGTAATTTGAAAAGAACCTGTTGTTAACTTCAGATTTAAATTCTCTTAATCTCTTAATGTGTTAATAAATTTGAGTTTAAGCATAATAGTAAACAAAGGATAACACAATGTTAACAAACAGTAAAGGTAATGTAAATGCCATAAAAACAAATGTAACTCACATAACCAGAAATGTAACCAAAGGATAACACAATGTTAACAAACAGTAAAGGTAATGTAAATGTCATTAAAACAAATGTAACTCATTTAACCAGAAATGTAACCAGCAACAATTAAATATTTAATGTCTCCAACTTTTAGAGTAAAACAAAAACAAAGGTATAACATGTCTCTGAAAAACTTATTTCACTAAAACTAATTTCACATTTGGTGAACTGCATTACATTGCATGAAGTATGGATCTAAAACTTGTGGAGATCCAAACACACTCATCAAAGAAGTCATTCCTCCAACTGGATGAACAAGATAACCTTGTGGAACCATAGAACTGACCGTGTCCTAGAATTCAAGAAGAAAATAATTGTTTCAGTAAAGGTGAATTAAAGAAGAAAAAACATATAAAAATAAGAATATACCTGAACAACAGATTGTGCAACTGCTTTTGAATTACTTGCAACGTTTTGAGATTTAGAACGTCGACCTTTGACTATTTTGCACTGTTTTTCAACGATGCTTCTCTTCTGTGTATTTCGCTGACCTTTAGGACGAGAACGTGAAGGATCAAGTATTGTCCTTGGATCAGAACCCAATTCATCTACACCAGAAACATTCTTTTGAATATCTAAAAATTGTTTGATAGATTTATACCCTTCCTCACATACTTGCCTAGCTTCAGGTAGACCAGCACTTGCACCTAATATGGTATTGAATTTTCTAGTCATTTGCACTCTCCAATCAGAATCTTCAATTATTTTCTCACACATAAGATCTCTTCATTGAGTAAAAGGAGGACTAACATGTTGCAAAATAGCAGCCTTTGTCCATCTGGGGAGTATATAAACTTGGGGAATACATTTCACACAATGGATGTTATATATACGCAATATGTGTCTACACAAAATGCCAACTTCTGAAAACATCTTACAACTGCATGTCACTGTGTTGTCATTTCCATTAAAAGTAACATTGTGCCTAATCAAATCTACACCGTTCAACCAAACATGATACACATAATCATGACAATTCTCTGTCATTAATTTAAAAAAGTGTGACATACCCTTCAAATATTGTTCCTGAAACAGTTTGAATATCTCAAGGGTGTACACATCTCTAGCATGTGACAAAATACTATCTTGCAGCAGTACCATCTCAACGGTGCCTTCTGAACATCTGAAATCTTGACCATTTTCCTCTGACCTCCACTCATCAACAACATCACCAAACATTTTGTAAAAGTCACACAATGTTGCAGTTTTTGAGAGTCTTCTGGATATGGATCTATTTGTAGATTCACTTCTTTGGGAGGATAGAACGCCGCCAGAGAAATAATCCTTTGAAAATGCAGGACACCACTTTTCTTTATGACTATAGAGCCTTTTTAACCATTTATTGTCACTGCATTCATACACTTTGTTCAACCTGAAACCAAGTAAAAAACTAACATAAAGTTACATACTAAAGCAACACATGTTACACAAACGCAATGAACAAGTTACACGGAATAAATAAGAGGTTACATCAAAATACAAATAACTTACTCAGACCAGTAGAAATCAAACTCTGCAACTGTGTCACATCGTTTGACAACATAATCAAATAGAGGAACAAAATTTATCTTCTTCCGTAGAAACATGATGTGTTTTTTCGAATTCTCATCTATATGCCAAGTGCATAGTCGATGTCTTGACTCAGGGAAAACTGATTTTATAGCTGCTGCCATTGAAAATGATTGGTCTGTCATAAACGTGATAGGGTGTTTACTGCCCATAGATTTCAAAAAAGTCTGGAATAACCAAACAAAGGACTCCACCTTTTCATTCAACATAAAGCCACAACCAAACATAATATTCTTACAGTGATGATTCATACCAACAAACGGACCACAAATCATGTCATATTTGTTAGTCTTGTAAGTTGTATCATGCACGACTAAATCACCAAATCTCTCATAATCTGATCTCATTTGGCCATCTCTCCAGGAAAAACAACTTAGTACACCTTCATTTACTTCAAAATCAAAGTAAAAATCAGATTCCACTTCAGCCCTTTTCTTCAATATAGAAATCAAAGTGTTAGAATCACTACCATCAAACGTTTTACTCTTTTCAGATTCTAGAACGTTATAAGCATCACGTTCGGTGAATCCAAGAGCACTAACCCCACATGCCTGTTTTTGAAGCATACGGTGAATATCAGAAACCTTTGTCCCGCTCTCCTTCATCAACATAATAAATTCAAGATACTCATGATCAACACCTCGATGTAATTTCAGAAGGTGTCTTTGACCAATTGGACAAAAAGAATGGTTGTGATCAGTAATATGCTTTGAAACAGTCCATTCACCATCAACACTAATAGAAAACTGCAGCTTTGCTTTACAACCTGAACGATAATCTAATTTCGTATACATTTTGTTTTCAGTGCCCTTTTGTAGTTTCTTCCCTTCTTTCCAACAACATTAAGACTTCATAATCAAACTTACATTGCCACTCCTAAACCTCTGTTTGCATCTTCGGATACCAAATCCATTTTCAAAAGCATGACTGTTGTAAAGATTATAAGCATCCTTTTCAGATTTAACACACAATCCAACAAGTGATTTATTCTCGGTTGCCTTGTCAATAGTTGCAAATGTATCTGACAATTCATAAAGGTGATATATGAAAAACAAACCACTCTAAAGAAGATACATACAATTGAATACAAGTTACATAGTGTTGATCATAAGTTACGTACACTTAAACTAAAGTTACATTTTAATAAACATAAAGCTACATAAAACTTAACTCAAGGCACATACAATAGTTGCATACATAAAGATACAGTTCAATTACATACAGTAGAACAAAAGTTACATACAACAAAACAGAAAGTTACATAAACTTTAGCGCAAGTTACATACATTAGAAAAGAAGTTGCATAGATTTGAATGTAATTTACATATTATTAAACAAGATATTAGAGCATACTGCAAACATAAAACTAAGAACCAAATTACATAAAACTAAACAAAAGTTACATACAATTGAAATAAAATGACATAACATCGAACTAAAAATAAACAAAAACAAAAATTGAATCACATGACAGGAAAAGTACCTCTACTAAGAAGATGTAACAATTTAGAAGCCATTGAACCAGTTTCATCTTCTCCTGAAAGGAAAACAACAAAATTCAACCAATATGAATACTACACTCCAAATTCTCAAGCAATAAGATAAAATAGAAAACAAAACATATTACAGCATACTGCAAGCATAAATAAGATAAATTAAATTCACAAAACTAAAAAACTGTAATGTTTACCAATGTGCTCGATATGAACCGGCTGATCACATTCAAAATTATTGTCAACGGATGAAGGAATCACGTTATCATGTATAGTAAAAGGAATAAAATCTCCGAATTCAATCGATGAATTCACAACAGCTGAATCATCTAGAGAGAAATCCATTGAAGCCTTTGAAGGCAAATCAGGTTCGTAAGCTCAGTGAATAGAAACAAAAACGGAAGAAGGAAGCGGAAGAAAGAAGTTGGCTGCAACTGAAAACAGAAATACGAACCTAATTTTTTTTAATGGAAAACGACACTGTTTTGGGATCGGCACACCATGCGCATGGTGGGCCGATCCCACAATATAATTTGGCTAGTTCGAGTCATTTTTAAACTTCAACGATACAATTTCCTCCGTAACCAACCAGGTGGCAATTTTCCATACATATGATGACAAGACGTTTTCTTTCCCACGTTTTTTCTCTCTCCACCGCACTGCCCCAGCCATCTTCTGAGAATTGTATTCGTGCTATCGTTAATCATCCGTTAGCTTTAATGTTGTAAATTTGAAATGAAGCCCAAATTCCACTTGTGAAAAGCTGGAATCTTTTCCGCACAATCGACCTCTCTTCGTGGGATTTCATGATTTTTTTGCTGTCCCGCTCAAAAATAAAAATCAATCTAGAAGTTATAGGGTTTCATGTAGATAATGCCCATGGGGACTCTGCAGGATCTGATCGAAGAAGCCAAGCTTCGAACGGTGTGGTGGGCTTTATGTATATTTGCTGTTTGCTACTTCCTAACGCGTAAGTTTAAGATTTTTATACGGAGTATAATTTATACCACGTATGTTTTTAACAGATATATAGAATATCTCTTAGCTGCAGATGTGAGATGTCACTTACATTGCTGTATTTGATTCTTTATATGAAAGGATGAAACCCCATGCGTGAGGGTGTAGATTGGACTTTAATAACGAGCTAGCGGATAGAGAGTGTTGCTCTGGCCTTGGTACTTGCAGAGCCCGTATGTATTTTAGCATAAATGAGTAACAAATATCACCCCAGACCGATTCCAGAAATTAACGTTTAGTGCATTTGAAATTAAATATGTGATCTTTTGGTAGCTTGGGTTTTCTAATTGTGAGTCTTGCAAGCCAATATTTCTACCAAGCATTTACTTATCTAATTGAATCTTTATAATGAAACAAGCTGCATAAGCCCCCCCAATGACTATACAAAAGTAATGACAATTTTAGGGGTGTTTGGAACTGATTTTAGCTTTTTAATTATTAAATTTGCTTCTCTAAGGAACACATATAAGGATAATCAATTTGATTAGTGTTTGGATATAAGTTTAGAATCACTTTTTGAGGATAAAGAACTCAGCTCTAGAGAAGCTCGGGTTACTAGCTTATTTAAAATTGAATTTGATTCTAAATTTTTGATTTCCTAAATACCCCCATCACTTCCTCATACAAATTCTTGAAAATCAGTTCCTGATTTTTCTTTTTAAAAAGAATCAGAAGCAGAACCAATCCCGAACACCAAAATTTTCATTTTTAATACTATGTATTAATTTCCTTTATTTTTTTTAAAACATGCCTTAAATAAACATATTTGTAAAAAAATCAATCCATTTAGCAAACTCATCCATTGTGGACACAATTTAAGCAAATTTTTATCATTCTTTACCTGTACTAAAGAAGCCTTCCTTAGTCTCTAGACTTGAAAGAGACTTGTTATGCGAGGTTGAGAATGTGAAGTATGGGGTAGTTTGGTTCAATCTATAGCTGAGAAATCTTCAAGGTTCTATTTTGGCTCCACTTTGCAGTCTTTTTTCAAGGTTCTCTATATTTTCTGCAGACACTAGTAAATCAATGTGGATGAATTTGCCAATCGCTGTGCTCTTGGTGTCTGTGTTAAGATTGCTGCTGAATGAGGTGGAGTTTCATTGGAAACATCAAAATGTAAGACGTCAGACATACTTGTCACGCCTGGAAAGCAAGCAGCTATCAGTGAATGATTCTCGCCTCTCCACATCACTACCCCCGCCAAAATGGAAGAGGAAATTTGATGCTCCTCTAGTGGAAGCCGCCACAGAGGATTTTGTGAACAAGATTTTACAGGATTTTGTAAAAGATTTGTGGTATTCTGATATTACGCCAGACAAGGAAGCACCTGAGTTAATTCATGATGTCATCATGGATGCCCTTGCTGAAATATCTCAAAGAGTCAAAGAAATAAACATTGTTGACCTCTTGACGAGGTATCATGTGTTATTATCTATTTCACTATTATACAATTTATCGTTAGCTCATGCTCAATTAGCCATATCACAATGCAATGCAATCAAAAACTACATCTGTCCCTAAATGAAATCACTTTGACTTTCATAGTCTTAAAGTCGTATTTTGACCATTATTATTTACAAATATGTACTCATAAGATCTATAATAAATTATTATTTCAATAACACATGTTAAAAGTTGAAAAACCGTTCAAGAGTTTTTCGTGTTATAGTATACTTTTTGAATGATTACTGGCCAAACTTATCATTATTTAACTCTAAAATCTCAAATGAGAACTTTATTTTACGTCTTGCCATTTTTCCAGTTAACCTTAGTGATACCTTGATGTAATTCATTTTCTTTTTATAGGAATAGTTACATTATTGATACTAAACCGGATGTATTTTATTTACTAAGGGATGTAGTGGACCTGATAGGGGATCATTTGGATCTTTTTCGAAAAACCCAGGCTGGAATTGGCAGGGAAGTGATGGGGACATTGTCTTCTGAAGAAAGGGACGAGAGATTGAAACACCATTTATTGGCATCTAAAGAACTCCACCCAGCTCTGATATCTGCAGAGTGTGAGTACAAGGTGTGAGTGGAGTGCCCTCATGAAGATATTTTCATTCACTTGAATTTATTTTGTTTTAGAATATCACCTAATGCTTTGTTGAAATAGGTTCTTCAGCGGCTTGTGACCGGAATCCTAGCTATAGTGCTAAGACCAAAGGAAGCCCAATCCCCGTTGGTTCGATGCTTTGCTCGAGAAATTGTTGTTTGTTTGGTAATTCAACCTATAATGAGTTTTGCAAGTCCACGGTGAGCAATCTTTTTTAATAAATGTGTTCTTTTTGAGATTTATGTTTTGATGACTGTATGTTGTGAGTGTGTGTAAAGTTCTCTGTACATTTTAGTAGTTATGGATTTCATCCTCTGAAGTTAGTTCAAGTCTTTTAGTGGGTGCCTTCACTTGTGTCATATTTCACAGTTTACTCTTCACCGCAAATTATAAGTAATGATTCGATTAAGAAGAATTCTCTAAAGCCTGCATTCCTTTAATATCTGAATGTGGTCCAATAATTCCTAATGATTGCAAGGGATAGAGTGTGAATGGATGGTTTATTTTCAAAAACACTTTCTTTTATAGGAAAACCACTTTTACTTTAAAAAGAACGTGAAAAAAGTGCTTTTATTTCTAAAACACCCGGCTTGCATGCACCTCAAATTTCTAATCCCGGGAGCAAAAATATGAACATGTTTGCTTGTGCCATGAGGATCACATATAATTTTGGATCATTATCGAAGGTTAAAGTTATGGAAACTTTGGATTGAATATGGAAATATGCCATGGGAAACCTGCTGGAGTACTGTGTCAGGAAGAGGAGAAATGTAAATAATTTATGAGTAAGTTTTGCAATAAAAAAATAATTCACAAGGGCTTTTTGTCTAAATGAGGTGCGCAAAGTATTTGTTGGGAGGCATAAGGTATTTCGATTCTAAAAACACCTTTTGTGCTTATTTAAGAAAGCAATGGATTGGAGTGTTTTGGAAAAAGCAATTTTTGTGCTTAAATGAGTAAATGCTTCTTATAAAATCATTTATTGCTTGAAGCATTCCAAACAGGCTCTAAACCACTCTCATGCTTCTCTTAATTGTCATAAGAGTAAGAATAAAAAAGTATTCACTTTATTTCTTCTTTGTTTTATTGATGTATATCGCCTTCCACTCTTTGATAGTAATTTTTAAACTCCATCCTTGCAGGTACATCAATGAGTTGATTGAATATATTTTTTCTGTGATAAAGGATTTTATCAAAGATTTCTCTACAAATTTGGAGGGTCATGATCATGATCATGCTTCTCCTACAGAAAATGTGCAGAGCAGTGAATCTTCTTCATTCACAAGAACTACATCTGATGTTTCCGGAAACTCTACGTCTAATCTAAATCTTCAAGATGAGCCCATCCATCCACGATCTGCTGAATGGGCTCGTGCCTTTGAAGCAGCAAACCTGAAAAGAACAGAAGTTCTAATGCCAGAAAACCTGGAGAACATGTGGGCGATAGGGAAAAATTATAAAAAGAAATTCAGGAAACGTGCTTCTATTGATTCCTCTCAAGATCCTGGAGAATGTGGTGCTATTTATGATTCACATCATATAGTTAAGGAGATGAAAACTCAGAAGCCCGAAGTATTTTCAGGGCAGGAAGATAAGGCTCTGGTAGTATTTCATTAGATCCCAATTCTACCCCTAGTGATCATAGTACTTATTTCTTATAACTATGATAGCCATCTTTATATCCTAAATCCAAAGTCCTTGAATGCAGGAAGCTGAAGATGCTGCTGCCATTATAACATCTGAAAGTAAAAATAAGTTTAGGAAATCAAACAGCACCTCTGATTTGAATATCTTACTAGAGATGGAAGATCAGTTGGCTAGTAAAGGCGGACCTACTGTTTCAAAAACTAATAATGCAGAAATGATATTACACAAGGACAACCAACTAGTTCCAAAGCTCAAGTGCCGGGTATGAGAATTATTTTACCTCTTGCTCGTAATATCCTTTGTACTCCCTCTGTCCCTATTTATTTAGCCAAACAGTATTTTTCAAGTCGAAGTTGTTCAACTTTGACCGATTATATATTTATACACGCCTACACGGTAATATTGATAATATGAAAATTATATGAAAGTGTTCTTTGTTAAAAATACTATCATAAAAGTATAAATTTATTAAGTTTCACATAAATATATTAGTTAAAATAATGGATCAAAGTTTATCATCTTTGACTGGAAAAGTCAAAGATGGCTAAATAAAAAGGGACGGAGGTAGTATATGTTATGGTTTCAATATGTTTTGGCATAGTTAGTTTAAGAAGTTATTGCTTTTACTGATGTATGTTGTAAGCGAGGTTTGCTCTCAACCTCTATGTCTTCTGGTGATACCTAAGCCCTTGATGCTCTGCAGGTCTTAGGAGCATATTTTGAGAAACTAGGGTCACAATCATTTGCAGTCTATTCAGTTGCAGTGACAGATGCAGATAATAACACTTGGTTTGTGAAGAGAAGGTCGTGTTTTAATCTCTATCTTCAACTCCCTCTATCCTAAAAAGCTCTTCAACAAAAGAATTTAATTTTATTGAATTCGAATTTAATGTAATATATTTTAAAAAACCAAATAAGTTAGGTACATTAAATTAAGTTGAACAAACAAAAAAAATTTAAAAATATAAGTAGGATTGATATATGTAGAAATAACTCGAGAACGTAAACTGTAGTCTGTTTATTATGTTCTGTATGTTACAAGGAGAAGAATACAGGATATAAATAGCTAGAGAAAAAATGAAATAAGGAAGGAATCCTCCTAATTAAGGTTCCCTAATAAAGAAAAGATAATTGGGGATATTTAGAGATTCTGAGATCTCTAAGATATCTCCTCATAAATGCACAATCGGGTGAGTGATTAGAACCATCTGTAATAATCTACACTCCCCCTCAAGCTGGGTGATGGATATCATCCATGCACAGCTTGCTAGATAAGTCTTCAAACTGAATTTTGGGAAGTGTCTTGGTGAGTATATCAGCTATTTGCTGCCTGGTTGGAACATAGCTAAGCTGGATATCCTTTGGTGCAATCTTCTCTGATAAGAATCTTCTATCTATCTCAATGTGTTTGGTCCTGTCATGATGGACATGATTCTTAGCAATACTGATAGTAGATTGGTTGTCACATGAGATATGGTTGGAGCTTTCAAATGGAAGTTTGAGCTCATTCATCAATCTTCTTAACCATAATCTTTCACAGATTCCTTGTGCTAAAGCCCTGAGCTCAGACTCTGCACTACTTCTTGAAACCATTGATTGTTTCTTGCTCCTCCAGATGACTAAGTTACCCCATACATAAGTACAGTAACCAGTAGTCGACCTTCTGTCTAAGAGGCTTCCAGCCCAGTCAGCATCAGTAAACACTTCAATCTTCCTTGTCCCTTGTTTATGAAACAACAACCCTTTTCCTTGTAAACTGCACACTTACTGAGAAAGCAATGTCTGGCCGTGTGTGAGATAGGTAGATTAGCTTCCCTACCAGCCTTTGGTATCTACCCTTATCAACTGGTGGACTTTCAGTCTCACTGCCTAACTTCTTTGATATATCCATGGGAGTGTCCATAAGCTTGCACCCAAGCATTCTAGTTTCACTCAACAAGTCTAGGACATATTTCCTTTGTGAAATGAAAATGTCTTTCTTAGATCTTGCCACTTCCATTCCCAGGAAGTACTTTAACTCACCGAGCTCCTTGATCTCAAACTCTCTTGCTAGATGAGACTTCAATCTGTCCAATTCAGCCTTATAATCCCCAGTCATAATAATATCATCAATATATACTATAAGAATAGCCATTTTACCGGAGTTTGCTCTCTTTGCAAATAGTGTATGGTCTGCCTGACATTGCATGTACCCTTGTTTAATAACTGATAAGGTGAACCTATTAAACCATGCTCTAGGAGACTGCTTTAGTCCATACAAGGATTTTTTCAGTCTACAAACCTGGCTAGATTTCACCAAGTCTTCCAACCCTGGTGGCACATCCATGAATACTTCCTCTTCCAGGTCTCCATTAAGAAAGGCATTCTTAACATCTAGTTGATGTAATGGCCAGTCTAGGTTCACTGCGAGTGATAACAATACTCTAATGGTGTTCAACTTTGCCACTGGTGCAAAGGTCTCTGAATAATCAATGCCATAAGCTTGGGTGAACCCCTTAGCAACCAGCCTTGCCTTTAGCCTTTCAATCTGTCCATCAACCTGATATTTGACTGTAAATACCCACTTGCAGCCAACAGTTCTCTTCCCTGCTGGTAAATCTGTAAACACCCAAGTTCCATTATTTTTCAATGCTGCTAATTCATCATGGACAGCCTTCCTCCACCCTGGATGTTCAAGGGCTTCCTTGATGTTGCTAGGAACCTGAATACTATCAATCTTTGAAATAAAAGCTTGATAGTTTGCTGAAAGTTTCTTATAACAAACAAAATTATAGATAGGATGCTTGGTACACTCCCTCACTCCCTTTCTGATAGCAATAGGCAAGTCTTGTTCCTCCTCATCTCCTTCTATGGCCTCAACCTTTTTGTCATCAAGATTCAAATTTGAGTCAGATGATTGGGTGGTGTTAGTTGGAGTGATGTCCTCTTCTTCTGGAACTCTGGTTCTAGGTTTCCGCTTATATGTATTCTTGTAGAATGGGGAATTTTGATCTAGTGTAGGATTTTGGGGTGATGAAGTTGGTGTCTGAAATGGTGAGGTTGATGGAGAGATTGTATTGTCAGGAGGGCTTGATTCAGAGCTGTCTGGGAGTATGGGTTTAGTGTGGTTAGATTCAGATTCTTGGAGGTCTGGAATAGTGTCTGAAATAGGTGAATTAGGGTTCAAAGACTGGATTTCATTGTGGTACTCCCCCTGAAATTCAGTTTTGGAATAGAAAGACTGATTTTCAAAGAAGGTTACATCCATTGTGATGTAGACCTTTTTGGTAGTAGGAAAATAACATTTATATCCTTTATGGTTGGCAGCATATCCTATGAATATACAAGGTAAGGATTTGGGATCCAGTTTTGACCTAAGTGGGGAATGGTTGTGAACAAATGCTTTGCAACCAAAGACTTTGGGTGGAAGATTGGTAAGAGGAATGTGAGGATGTGGATAAGATAGGATTTGGTATGGGGTTTTAAATTGGTGAATTTCGGAGGGCATCCTATTTATCAGGTAAGCTGCAGTTAAGACAGCCTCTCCCCAGTAGTGTTTAAGAGTGTGAGTGGTGAACATAAGGGCTCTAGCAACTTCCAGTAAGTGTCTATTCTTCCTTTCTGCCACCCCATTCTGTTGTGGGGTGTCAACACAGGAGCTAATGTGTATAATTCCCTTTTTGGACAGAAACTCTCCTAAGTTGGATGAGAAATATTCTTTGGCATTATCAGTTTTAAAAACTTGAATCTTGGTTTGAAACTGAGTTTTGATCATAGAATAGAATCTTTGAAAGATAATATTGACTTCTGACTTCTCTTTCATGAGGAAAACCCAGGTTAGGCGTGTATGATTATCAATAAACAGAACAAACCACTTTGAACCAGTGAGGTTTTTGACCTTGGATGGGCCCCAAACATCATTGTGGATGAGAGAAAAAGGCTTAGATGGTTTGTAAGGTAGACTGGGATAATGACTTCTAGTATGTTTAGCAAGTTGACAAAATTCACAATCAAAGGCAGAACTTTTATTTATGAATAATGAAGGAAATATTTTTTCTAAGTCCAAGACATTAGGATGACCAAGACGATAATGCCATAACTGAATTTGAGTATCAAACTGACTCCTACTAAGACTCCCTAAGAACTTATGGTTGAATTGACTCTCACTGGAAGTTGTCTTGTTGGTGTTGTTTGGTGAATGTGGTGAATGTTCCAGAAGATAGAGTCCACCACTTTGCTTAGCACCGCCAATCATCCTCCCCGAATCCAAATCCTAAAATTCACACAATTGAGAAGAGAATTTAGTTAAGCAATGTGTATCATTGTTCAGTTTACTGACTGATAAGAGGTTGAACTTTAAATCTGGAACATAAACACATTGTTAAGCACTATCTTGTCAGAAATTTTGACTCTTCCAGTCCCTTTTATTGCTGAAGTAGTTCCATCAGCAATCTTCACAGTTACCTTATTCTTCATAGGGATCAATTCAGCAAAAAACTTGTTGTCTCCAGTCATATGATCTATGATCTGATGCACCTGAATCAACAATCCAATAAGGCTGACTGTGTGCAACTAGGGTTGTTAAAGCATTACCTGTCTGAGCAGTAAGGCTAGTTGATGGTGTAGGCCCTTTGCTCTGACTTATTAGGTGTTGAAGAACCTCAATCTGCTCATTGGTAAATGCAGCAGAGTTTGAAGTGCCCATGTCTTCTTTATCTCCAGTAGCTACATAGGCTTCTCTCCTTTTGCTGGGTTTAAAATCTTTAGGTTTACCATGCAAATTCCATCATGTTTCTTTGGTATGGCCTGGTTTTTTACAGTGATCACACCATGGACTCCCTTTTTTCTTGTTTTCATTCTGTCTGGAAGAGGTATAAAGGGCTGATCCTTCAATGTTTTGTTGCTGACCTTGAGATTTTAGACCCATCGTTACTTTCCTTCTGCTTTCTTCTCTTCTGACTTCTGAGAAGGCTTCTCTAAGCGTGAGTTTCTTTCCCATTATTCTGCCCCTAACCTCATCTAGACTCTTGTCCAAACCTGAAAGGAATTTGAAGACTCTCTTCCTTTCACAGATCTCCTGATATAGCTTCTTATCCTTAGAACGTGACCAACTGTATGTCTCAAACACATCAAGATGCTGCCACAGTCTCACAAGGTTGTTGAAGTATTGAGTTACACTCAATTCTCCCTGCTGAAGGTTATGTAGCATTGATTCAACCTCAAATAATTCAGAAGTGTTATCTAAAGTTGAGTATGTTTCTTTAACAGCCTCCCAAATCTCTTGAGCTGTTTTGTATAGTAGGAAGTTTTCCCTTATACTGGTTGTCATGGAATTGATGAGCCATGACATCACAATATAGTTCTCCTTTTTCCACTTCTTGTAGCCTGGATCTCCTTGATTCAGAGCAGGTGCATCGCCTGTCAAATAGTCCTTGTCTTTTCCACACACATACATCATAACTGACTGAGACCATTGTAGATAATTACTACCATTGAGTTTATGGCAAGTAATAATCGAATCTGATTGATTAGGAGTGGTGACTGTGCTTCCATTGATATTCTGGTTGCTGCCATCTCCAATTGGGACACCCTCTGAATGTTCAGAGGTGACTGAAATAGATCTATCTCTCTCGGTGGTCATCCCATAAGATCCGAACTTGATCATTTTAGAGAATAACCACGCTCTTATACCATGTAGAAATAACTCGAGAAAGTAAACTGTATTCTGTTTATTATGTTCTGTATGTTACAAGGAGAAGAATACAGGATATAAATAGGTAGAGAAAAAATGAAATAAGGAAGGAATCCTCCTAATTAAGGTTCCCTAATAAAGAAAAGATAATTGGGGATATTTAGAGATTCTAAGATCTCTAAGATATCTCCTCATAAATGCACAATCAGGTGAGTGATTAGAACCATCTGTAATAATCTACAATATATTACAAGAGTCGTCCCTTATCAAAATTCCTTGATGAAATCAGATTTTGTTTGGGGGACGGAGGTAGTATTATATTACTTGCCACATCATTATTGGTCAAAGTTGCATGGTACCTTGAGAGCCACTTTATTTTCATTTACTGAAATGATTCTTGAGGTGTTTCTATTGCTTGGCTATCCATTGGCTTTGTTCATTAAATGCTATCTTGTCTTGTTGTCTTAATCAGGTATAAGAACTTTGAGAGATTGCATCGACACCTAAAGGAGATTCCAAATTACATCTTACATCTGCCTCCTAAAAGGATTTTTTCTTCGAGCACAGAAGATGCTTTTGTTCATCAGCGATGTATTCTACTTGACAAGTATTTGCAAGTATATCCCACACTGCTCTCTATGACTTCTTAATGCACTTTTAAATATAAATATTTTTAGCTGCTTTCTACACCTTCTCTTTTTGACAGGATCTCTTGTCCATTGCTAATGTTGCTGAGCAACATGAAGTGTGGGATTTTCTAAGTACTAACTCAAAGGTGCGTAGTTTTGTTTTGTTCATAGAGATGGACATATGTATGCGCGTGTGTGTGTATATACATAGTATATATTTGTTATGTACTCGTGTTGATTTAAGCTAAATGGCTTTTGTTTTTTATGGAATGCATGCAGAGCTACTCCTTCGGAAAATCTTCTTCTGTGATGAGAACCTTGGCAGGTATTAGTTTCTTTCTTAGCTTATCTTCATTATACTTTATTCAGGGCCTGTGTAATTTTACGGAACACCAAACTATACCTACTCAGTTTCTGTGACACCACACCCTACCATCTTAGCTGTCATGTGATGCACCCATCAACGTCAAATATGTTAATTCTTCTTATGAATCTCTATGTAAAGAAGAGATGGATGATGACCTTCAACTAATATTTTTTGTCTATCCTTTTTGCGTTTTATGGGACTGGTTACATACTACTCCCTCCGTATACTTTTGTTTGCTACACTTTCCTTTTTGGGAAGTATTTTTTTGTTTGCTACACTTTCCCTTTTTGGTAAGTTTTCCCTTTAAAAATACTCAATTACCCTTATTTTCTACTTTTCATATTCTCTTTCATACTTTTCCACCCTCTCTCCTACTTTTTCTACACTATTCACCACCCCTACTATTTTTCCCTTAAATATTGTGTCAAACCCTATTATAGCAAACAATAAAATACGGAGGGAGTATGACTCAACTAACTCTATGTCTAAATATAACGTGTGCTTACTGTTTCAGAGTTGTAGTGTTGTGAATGTTGGCTGACCATTTGGTTATCTTAAGTGGCTAAGTCTAAACTTTGTTTTCTGTCTAACTAGCTTATATACTTTTAAATTAATGACTTTTTTGTTTCTTCTTGTTCAACAGACTTGTATTTTGAATTTTTAAGTTCACCTGGAGGCTTATGCCTCACCTCATAAGCAAAACTCCTCGTTACTTTAAACTTCTTTTCAAACATTTTCTATAGGACTCAAATGTATATCCTGAATTAAAGTGTCTATAGGACTCAAATGTATATCCTGAATTCCAATTCCATTGGTGAGGGGATGAATTAAAGTTTGTTCTCTTTTGATATAGAAGCTGAAGCTATGTGCAAACTAATCTTTAGAAAACCGATATGTTTTCGTTTTGTCATCTATGACAACCAATTATAGTTTTTAATTTAATTTTATTTAACTAAACAGTAAAAGTGGATGATGCTGTGGATGATATAGTACGCCAGTTTAAAGGAGTCTCAGATGGTTTAGTTCAGAAAGCTGTTACCTCCCCTACTGCATCTTATACTGCACTTTTGGACAAAAAGTTGTCCTGGAATGACGATGGCATCAATAATAAACTTGCATTGAGACAGAACAGTTCAGAGCTGCTAAACAGTTGTTCTGATAAAGATGACGGAGGATTCAGTCCACAAGCCAACGGGTGGAATTCAGACAATGAAATCAACTCAAAGGAGTTCCCGTATCAAGCCATAAACCACGGTCAAGATTTTAAAGGCTTTGGGCCTAACATCAAGAGTGGTCCCAGACCACATTATGAGGCCATTAGTGCTACTGTATGTCCAGAAGCAAATTTTGCAATTGTCTTGGCTCAACAAGAGGGCCAAATTGATGTGCCACCAGAGGTATGATAATGGTCCTACATCCATGGGCTTTTCCTAACTGAATTTTCTTTCAATAAGATATTAGGATTTTGATTATTATGATTCTCTGGATTAATGTTGTTAGCCTACTTACCTGAGTAGGGTGAGAAATGAATATGGTTGGGGACCTTGATTCTTTATACTCCCTCCGTCCTTTATTCAACTCCTTTTGATTTGGCACAACTTTTAAGATAGTTGAAACTGTGCGATTGATATATGTTTAGAATAGAGAATGTATATTACTGCCACATTATGCTTTCCTTAAATAGGAGAGTGAAGGTAATTTTGGGACAGACAATAAAGGGAGGAATGAAGATAAAAAGGGTATAGAAGCATATGTGTTTGTGTGTGTGTGTGGAAAATATCCATATCACTCCTTCATGGCGGCTTTGGTTTAAAAGTACTCCCAATCCACTGCTGGATTGCTTTTGTGTAGCATTTAACGGTTCAGATAGGATGTTTGGATTTTAAAGGCAATCAAATGGTTGAAATGTTGTCAGGAAGGACTGAGAAAAACTTCCGTGTGTGTGTGTGTGTGTGTGTGTGTATATATATATATATATATATATATATATATTGCTATATTTGGCCAGCTGATACTGTTGGGCATAGATCCCATGACTAATCATCCTTCGATCCCTTATTAAGTATGAAATTTCCGTAGTTAAGTGATTAATATGACTCTTCTTCGTCATTACCCCAGTGCCGCAAAGGCTCCCACCTATGATGGGGTAAGGGAGGGTCGGATGTACGCAGTCTTACCCTTGTTCTAAATCACAGAGAGACTGTTTCCGGATGACCCATAAAGTGATTAATATGACTAGGTTGATTATTTGAAGTAGATCAAGCAGAAACAATTGCTTGTGGCATTATCACTTCTTGCAAGTCCATAAGTTTAATAAAAAACTTAAGGAAAACCCATTGGAAGCCAATGAAAATATGCAGACTATATCCATGATAAACATACAGTGCTTGCAGGTTTTATGTTACTCATTCACCAAACAAAGTGTTCCATCTATATTTACCCCATGCTTTCAAAAAAAAATCTATATTTACCCCATCCTTGCTGATATTTCCTTGCAGTGGACTCCTCCAAATTTAAGTGTTCCTGTTCTGAATTTAGTAGACAATGTATTTCAACTCAACAAAAGAGGATGGTTAAGGTAAATCTACTGTTCATTTGTCACTTCTTCATATTTTCAAAAGATCCAAGTCTATTCTCTTGTACAATTTAATTAAGGGGGCATAAAGGATGTTAAAGTATAAACTAGAATGACAATGAACATGGAGAGAAGGATTTTCTGTATATTTCATTGGAGGGTTAAGTCCCTATATATACCTTACAAAGATAGAATATTCCTATAAGATTCTATACAATAATATCCTAGAGTATATTCCTAAAATATTCTAAAGCATATTCTAAAGATAGAAGAATATTCTAAAGCATATTATAAAGTATATTCTAAAGTATATTCTAATGTCTTTCACACTCCCCCTCAAGTTGGAGCATAGATATTTATCATGCCCAACTTGTTACATAAATAACCAACACGAATTCCATTTAGTGCTTTAGTGAACAAATCTCCAAGTTGCTCTCGAGTTTTCACATATCCTGTAGAGATCAATCCTTGTATTTTTTCTCGAACAAAGTGACAATCGACCTCAATATGTTTTGTTCTCTCATGAAACACTGGGTTGTTGGCAATTGTGCCTTCAATCCTAGAGTATAGCAGCTTGGTTATCACACCAGAGTTTAGCAGGCATTGGTGTCTTCAATCCGATTTCACTCAATAAATGGTTTATCCAGATTATCTCACATGCCGATTGTGCCATAGCCCGATATTCTGATTCAGTACTCGAACGAGAAACCACATTCTGCTTCTTACTTTTCCAAGAGACGAGATTACCACCAATAAAGACGCAATAGCCAGATGTGGATCTTCTATCATCTTTAGATCCAGCCCAATCAACATCTGCAAAGCATTCTATTCTCATGTGATTATGATTTTGATAAACAATACCTCGTCCTGGTGTCCCCTTCAAGTAACATAATATATGCTCTACAACATTCTAATGATCAACTGTCGGAGATGACATATATTGACTTACTACACTCACCGAGTATGCAATATCTGGACGGGTAACTGCGAGATAATTAAGCTTTCCAACCAACCTTCTATATCTTTCTGGATCTTCAAATGGCACGCCTTCATGAGTGAGCTGCACATTGGGAATCATGGGAGTATTGCTCGGTTTTGCCCCCAATTTCCCTGTTTCAGTTAGCAAGTCAAGCACATATTTACGTTGAGATAGAAATATGCCTTTCTTACTCCGTGTAACCTCAACCCCCAAGAAGTATTTCAATGAGCCCAAATCTTTCGTCTGGAATTTACTATGAAGAAAATTCTTAAGGGCCAAAATACCTGCATTATCACTCCCTGTAATCACAATATCATCAACATACACCACAAGCAATGTGATACCTGCTTTCGTTCGTCTGTAAAATACAGAGTGATCCGATTTGCCTTTGATCATTCCAAACCGTTCAATTCATTGACTGAATTTCCCGAACCATGCACGGGGACTCTGTTTCAAACCATAAAGAGACTTGCGAAGTCGACAGACTTTTCCATACTCCCACTGAGCAACAAACCCCGGAGGTTGCTCAATATAAACTTCCTCCTCAAGATCACCGTGCAAGAATGCATTCTTAATGTCCAACTGATGTAAGTGCCAACCATGAGTTGCAGCGAGAGAAATAAGTAATCTGACAGATGTTAATTTAGCAACCGGAGAAAAAGTGTCAGAATAATCAACACCATAGGTTTGAGCATAACCCTTCGCAACTAATCAGGCTTTCAAACGAGCAACAGATCCGTCTGGGTTAACCTTAACAGCAAAGATCCACTTACATCCAATAGACTTTTTCCCTGTAGGCAAGTCTACCAAATCCCAAGTACCATTAAGATCCAAAGCATTCATTTCCTCTATCATGGCATGACGCCATTCAGGATGAGACAAAGCCTCTTTAACAGATTTGGGAACAGAAATAGAATCAATGGAAGCAATAAAAGAACATGAGGCAGGGGATAATTGACTATATGACACAAATGAAGAAATAGGATGAGTACAAGACCGTGTACCTTTACGTAGTGCTATTGGGAGGTCAAGATCTAATGTAGAGACAAGATCTGATGATGCAGGTACTGGTTCAGGACATGAGATCGAAGTCGGACTAGTATCAAGATAAATAATCACAGGTGTCGCCGGTGGAGGGTGATCAGGTGCTTTGTGTCGACGGGTGTATACCAAGTGTATAGGAGGCCTAGGGTCACGAACAGTAACTTGTGGAATACTTGTCGAAAGTGTGGATTCGGGAATAGTCATCGTGTAAATGAGTATATCATCATTATTCTCATGAATATCTGCCTTAAATGATGAAAAAGTGTATTTTCATGAAATCATGCATCAATAGAAGCAAGATACCGACCTGTACTCGGACAAAAACATCTATACCCCTTTTGGACTCGAGAATAACCCAAGAAAATACATTTTAGTGATTTGGGATCTAGCTTTGTAAGATGGGGATTAACATCTCTAACAAAACAAGTGCAACCAAATATTTTAGGTGGGATAAGAAAAAGCTCTTTGTTTGGAAATAGACAATGATAAGTAGCTTTACCATTCAAAACAGAAGATGACATACGATTTATCAAAAAACATGCAGTAGACACGACATCGGCCCAAAACTGTTTAGGCACATTCATTTGGAATAGAAGAGCCCTTGCAGTTTCCAACAGATGTCGTTTTTTTCGTTCTGCAACCCCATTTTAAGGTGTGTCAACGCATGAAGTTTGATGAATAATACCATGCTGAAGCATAAATGACTTAAACGTAACAGATAGATATTCTTGGGCATTGTCTCCTCTTAACACCCGAACAGGAACGTTAAACTGAGTTTTAATTTCAGCACAAAAGGAAGAAAAATGAGTGAACGACTCAGATCGACGTTTCATGAAATACATCAATGTCATACGAGAATAGTCATCAACAAAGGTAACAAAATATTTAAAACCAGCTTTAGACACAACCGGGCAAGCACCCCAAACATCAGAGTGAACAAGGTCAAATGGAGCATTTGCTCGTTTATTAACTCGAGGGCTTAAGTTAGTACGATGATGTTTCGCAAATTGACATGACTCACATTGTAAAGAGGTCATCTTATTGAATTGGGGATTTATTTGCTTCATTAATGGGAGAGATGGATGTCCTAGTCAGTAATGAGCCTCTAACAAAGTCCCGATCCCAAGACAAGAGATACCTTTTGTGATTGATGTTTCCAAAATATAAAGACCAGTTGACTCATGTCCTTTACCAATAGTCTGCTTCGTTAACTGATCCTGAAACACACAATATCCAGGAAAAAATGTTACAGAACAATTAAGAGTACGCGTGATTTTGATGATAGAAAGCAGATTAAATGCAAAATTAGGAAGACTCAAAACAGGCGATAATGGTAATGTAGAAGTTGGGACAACAGTACCGGATCCAAGAATGAGTGAGGTAGATCCATCAACTAAAGTGACACTAGAAGTAGGTAAATATGAATGAAATGACAAGAATAGACTAGGATTATCGGTCATATGATCTGTGGCACCCGAGTGAATGACCCATTTCGAGGATGATGAAACAAGACATGTGTTTAAAATACTTGAATTTGCGGCTACCGAGATAGGGACGGATGAATGCTCTAGAGATTCTTGGTAGCAAATAAATTTGGCATACTCGTCTGAAGAAACAACAATTGATCCATCAGATGAACTGGTAGCGGAAGCAACATGACCAAACTGATTTCCTTGATTCTTGAATAGCAATTTCCTACATTCTTTGATCGAGTGCCCGGGCTTCTTGCAGTAACTGCATATTACTCCTCTGCCAAATGGACCCGTACAAGACATTCTTTTTTTTTTCTTTTTTTTTTTTGTAATTTTTTTTGAGAATAAATAAATACAGCTAATTAAGACTTACCAGCAAGTTGACAACGACAACTCCAAAATTATACGCAGCCCCTTACTAACGCGAGCCAGCTCACCCAGTCTCAAATCCCATCCTTTCTCAACATTCTGGTACGAATAGAGAAAATATATACGCCTTCTAAAAGTATTTGCGTCGCCAACCTCGATGAAGCCTATGGATCCAAAAGCTTGCAGATCGGAAAAATGGATTCGTCTGGCAGAGAATACTCAGGCGACCTAGATGGGGATTTCCGATCAAAAATCCGGTCAGCTGTGAAGCTTTACTCGCCGGTGCGTGTGACGGCGCGTGTGACTGCCGTGCGAAGCTTTGCCGGTGCGGACTCCAAAGGCGTAGTCAGCGGCGGCAAGTTCAACTGGTTAGGATGGAGATGAGATAGGACGGTGTTGGTTTGGACAAAGGTTCTGGTTCTAGGGTGTATTGATGTTATAGAACGAGGGTCTGGACATGGACAGAGGTTCTGTTTAATGGTGTGTAGAGGTTCTGTAGGAGGTAGAATGGTGTGTAAGGTTCTGAAGTTAACTCAAGTTCTTAGAGAAAGAACCGAGTAGGAAGAAAATAAGGCTATGACTGAAAACACGGAAAGAACATAGGCTGAATACTGAACTGAAATCAGCCTGAATACTGAACTGAAATTTGAAAAACTAAACTGAAATCTGAAAACTAAACTAAAATAGAAGGCTCTGATACCATGTTAAAGTATAAACTAGAATGACAATGAACATGGAGAGAAGGATTTTCTGTATATTTCATTGGAGGGTTAAGTCCCTATATATATACATTACAAAGATAGAATATATTCCTATAAGATTCTATACAATAATAATATCCTAGAGTATATTTCTAAAATATTCTAAAGCATATTCTAAAGATAGAAGAATATTTTAAAACATATTATAAAGTATATTCTAAAGTATATTCTAATGTCTTTCACAAAGGACATCTTAGATAAGGGGGCACAAAGGGTATTTTGTGAAAGTGAGCAGATAGATAAGGGCCTCAAAGGACTTCTGTGAAAGTGTGTGCACAGTTTTTATTTTATTTTATTTAAATAAAATCTGCATATATATTAAGGGTTATTGTTAGCTAGGTAATAACTGTCTGTTACTATTACTCATGCAGAAGACAAGTATTTTGGATATCAAAGCAAATATTGCAGTTGATGATGGAAGACGCTATCGATGACTGGTTGTTAAGGCAAATCCACTGGCTTCGAAGAGAGGATGTAATTGCCCAAGGAATTCGATGGATCCAAGATGTAAACTTCTTTGCTTATCATATTTCCATTACCAAAAGTACTTCAATTGGAACTGACATGTTATAAAACAATTAGTTAGGTAACCAAGCATTCCAGCCCATTCCAGCCCAGCTGGTTGCGAGGTTACCGTGCCTAGTGAGAGGTCTCGATTTCGAAACCCGCACATAAGGGCTTGAAACTCAATGGAGTGAGTTTCAGCCCTCTAATTACTCCAGGCCCCCAGCCCCACTCCCTCAGACGTCCGGTGGAGTAAAAAAACAATTAGTTAGGCATTTCAGATACCAATGCTTCTGCTGTTACTGACCCCCCTCCCCGCAGATTCTTTGGCCTGATGGCACTTTCTTCCTGAAACCAACCACTCAAAGTGAGACGAATGACGCTCAACCAAAGCAGCTATACGGGAATCCCACCAGACAGTTTTCAATGGGCCGGGCATCTAAAGTGGGATCTTTTGAGCAACAGCTTGAGGCTGCTCGCAGAGCTAGTAATGTGAAAAAGATGATATTCAGTGAGTTTATCCATCTTATTCTAAATACTTTAGTCACAGTTGAGAGTAAAAAAGGTTTCAAATACCCCCCATCCCTTATAGTTTATTAGTTATTTAGTTTTACCAAGATTGGCAGGCACATTGAATAATAAAGTTGTTGGAAATAGCATTTAAAGCATATGCCTTTTTATATTCCAGACTTTCCAGCAGCTTAACTTTTCATTTTCCTTTATGACTTTCAGTTTTCTTTTGTCCTTTAATGTATCATTTACTTCCCTATTCCCTATATATATGGGAGTCATAATGTATGATTGCATATGAGAAATACAAGAAGGCTTCTCTTCCTAAATCAACAAAAGTAAAAACCGTATAGTTGTGAGTTGTGTGCCAATGAAAGAGAAACATCTATCATTCTACGCGTCACCACATGCACTTAAATGAGTCCGATTTTGTTCACCCTTTCAAGGAAGGTCATGTTCACCCCTCCCTGCTTGCTATGTGGCATGGCAATTCTGTTTTTTAAATTGTTAGAACTTTTTTATTTATGGTCCATTTTTTATAAAAAAATATATCAGATTTAATAATCTTTTATGATCTGTCGAATGGTACCAATATTGCATATAAACGATTGAATAAAAACTCTTTTTTTCTAAATTTCTATCTTTAGCTAGATTTTTTTTAAAAAAAATTACATATGCAATATTGGTACCATGTGAAAGATCATACTCATCCGTCCATTATTACTTTCTCATCTTTCCCTTTTTGGTTGTCCCAAAAACTTTATCACTTCCCCTTTTAATTAATTAATTAATTTGTGATTCCTATTATTTCTCTCTTCTCTTAGAGAACCTTAGTCACACAGTTTTTACTTTATTCTCTGTGCCGTCGAACTTGACAAAGTTTTGAGGGATAGAGGGAGTAAAAAATTATAAAATTTGATATTTTTTAAAAATTGGACTGTGAATGAAAATGTTATAACAATTGCCAAAAAAAGAGTCGCCATGCCACACATGTCAGACAACCATGGAGGATTGAACATCACCCTCCTTTGAGGTTGAGGGGTGAACAAAATTGATTCCCACTTAAATGGCCATAGTGAAGTGTGAAGTCGATTTATTAAATAGCCGTGGGCCTTGATGACAATCCAAATGTAGAATACTTCTCTCCCTTCTACCTTTAGAAATCAGACAACCTATTGAGTGTCCATCGTGGCTAATGTTATTTTAAATGATCCTAATACTCATTCCAGATACTGCCCCTAGTGCTTTAGTCAGCTTGATTGGGAAAAAGCAGTACAGACGTAGTGCTAGAGATATCTACTACTTCCTTCAGGTATGATTTCCTTCGACTAACTTCTTGTCTCTAAAGAACTATTAGGGTCTATTTGGAACTTGGAAAATAGTAGTGTAAAAAATTAGGGTAAAATGCAATGGAAAAATACTGTTAACAGATTGCTTCAAAATCAATTTTATTATTTTTAGATATTCGTTCAAACTAATTTTATTTATATATTTCTATTATATAAAGACTAAGAGATCTAAATTTATGTAACATTTTAAAGAGTTTTTACATTGTTTAGTTTTCCTAGTTAAAACAAAAAATGAAGAAATCATTTTCTGAGCTCCAAACAGAGCATTGCTGTTTTATTGGATAATCTTTTCTTCCTTTTGGTTTTGTTAGAACTGACTACTCGTAAACTAAATTTTGAATTGCAGTCTACCATATGCTTAAAACAAGTGGCTTATGCAATTCTTGAACTTGTGCTCGTGTCAATCTTTCCAGAGTTACGAGATATTGTGAAGGATATCCATGAAAAGATGCATTCTCCTGCATAAGGATCATACTGCCATAGTTTCATTAGTTTAGTTTTTACTAAACGAAAAAATGGCAACTTTGACCAACCTTTTGTGAAGGTGATAATAACATATTTGACTAAGAGATTGTTGTCTTTGTAACTATCCCTAGAGAAGCAATGCAAATCAAAGCTACAAGACTGCTATTGTAAACCAGTGGATAAAGTTACAAGACTGCTGTTGTAAACCAGTGGACCAGCCAACTCCTTAGGTCAGAAACAGGACTCTTACACCAAAATTCTTTCTTGGGTGTGAGATAAGAGTTTTCTATACCTGCTCACATCTTGTACAATATATGTAAATTAGGCACAAATCAACACGGTTGGCCACATGATCCAAATTAGAGCATGTATTACATGTATATATAAAATTCATTTTTTGTAGTATGGAGTACTCCTTTCATTTTGCTGTAAATGCATTTATACACAATAGGAGCCTGTTTGATTAAAATAGCAGAAACTGCTAAAAAGAAAAAAAAAATGTTTGGTAACATCTATTTGAGCCACATCTAATTCAAAGGCTACTTATATTGCTAATTCTGTTGCTCACATGCAAAATAATCCAGAGATGGATACCACATGGAGCCGTAATAATTTACAGGCTCTAGACTATAGACTTTGCCAAACTCTATTTTACCAGAAGTCCATGCATGAACAAATGCCATCTCGGAACACATGGAAGAAGTTTGAATCCTTAATAATGATTTCCCTTCCAAAAACCTTGGAAACGAACCTGAATGTAGAGTGGCAATCGTTGCAGATGCGAAGATTCTTCGTCACCCTTAACATCGTACCAGTCTTTGTTCTTGTCAATCCTAAAGCGATAGCTAACTTTTCACTGTGGTGATTCAATATGTCCTTTTTAACAAAACCTTCTACATCCTGAAACACACAGTTCATGTCGGGAACATGACCTTCTGCTTCTATTCTCAACATCATATCCTTCAGGGACTCGGATATCTCAGGATATAAAGGATGATCCTTCTCACTTGCAAGAAACCTGTATACTTCTCCATTTATCTCAATCAAACTCATGCCTGGTTCTTTCTTCAGATTTTTTGATCGGAGTACCATTCTGGTCATCTTTACACCATTTTGGTTCCCCAGAAAGGCATATATATTTGACAGAAGCACGTAATAACCTGCATCGTCTGGATTCAGCTCAAAAAGCCTCTCTGAGATCTTAATCCCTATTTCAACGTTTCCATGGACCTTACAAGCAGCTAATAAAGCGCCATAAACTTCAAGACTGGGCTGCAAATGCATGTTGTTATTAATCATCAAATAAGCATCGTTCAACCGGCCTGCACGACCAAGAAGGTCAACAACACATGCATAGTGCTTATGGTTAGGAACAATGTTCAAACTCTCAACCATACTGTTGAAAATCTGAAGGCCCTGGTCAACCATCCTGGCATGACTACAAGCACACAAGACAGAGACTAAGGTTGAACTGTTTGGAGTCACACCTGAAATCTCCATCTTCATGAAGAGCTTGATTGCTTCATTTCCATAGCCATGCATCGCGTTTCCAGAAATCAATGCATTCCAGCAAGTGACATCATCCTTTCTTTCCATCATTTCGAAAAAACTTCCTGCATCGTTCAATTTGGAACAGTTGGCATACATGTCTATGATAGCTGATCCAACAAATATATCAGCTTCAAAGCCAGTTTTTATTGCTAGTCCATGCACTCGCCTGCCCTGTTGGAGAGCTGCCCAACGACTGCAGCAAGAAATGATGCTAGTTAAACAAACGGAATCAAGAACCATTTCATCTTGAGAAGCCATCATCATGTTGAAGTATTGAATGGTCTTACTCCAGTTTCCCATTCTTGAAAAGCCTGTTAACATCAATGTCCATGCAACTATGTCCCGCTTACATAATTCAAAAAATAAAGAGTAAGCTTCTGCATTATAGTTAAGGTTTATATACACATCTATTAAAGCAGTTTTGAGAAGATCATCATCACACCCAAGTCTAACTGCTAAAGCATGGACTCCACTTATTTTTCCAGAGATAAACAGGGATGATGATATTAAGCTCATGATTGTTAAGGCATCCGGAGATACCATCTCCCTTCTCATCAAACTAAACAGTTGAAGGGCCTCCTCTCCAAATCCATTGTCTGAATAAGCAGAAAGCATGGTATTCCAGGAAATGATGTTCCTTTCTGACATTTTATCGAACATGTTTCTTGCACTAACAGCACACCCAAATTTTGAATACATGTCTACCAATGCTGTTTGCACATAAACGTTATTTTCAAAATTTTGCCTAATCCAATAACAATGAACTGATTTTCCCACCAGAGTCGATCGCAGTTCCCCAAAAGCAGGCAAAATACTGGATATCGTAATTGCATTAGGCCTTATCCCATAATTAGACATCTCAAAAAAAGCCACAGTGGCTTCAAGAAAATGATCATTTCTTACCAACCCCGAGATCAATATTGTCCAAGAAAATACATTTTTACCCACAACTCGAGGAAACAGTTTCTGCGCATCCCCTACATGTCCAGAACTAACATACGAGTTCAATAAACTATTGCAAAGGAAGATGTTCCTGCAAAGGCCTGAGGTCAGTAGGTTGGCGTGTATTTGTAGGATATGTTTTCGCTGTTTGAGCCCTTTCAGGATTGAAGCATATGAACGCTTGTTAAGATTGGACTCGTAAGGAACACCAAAGTTTACGTAGGGGCTATGTTGCAAGGAAAAGCAACTCTTAGTGCCAGTAGGAGGTTGAATCATCCTTCCTTATTACAGCAAAGAAAGAAATCGGTTCGGTTAGTTTTGGTGGGAACTGTGCCCCTCTTTCGGTTAGTTTATGGAATGGGGGAAAGTACAAAAATGTACGTAAGACATTTTTTGGCGTTTGAAATTGATTGTGATGATTGTCATTCTTTTTCATAAATAAACTAGAATCAGAACCAGTTTTTCAGAAATGATCTCTTATAATTTCTAAAAATTGCTTCTAGAAATTTTTTGAAGCACTCGAAAGTACTTTTACACTTTCATCGTAAGTTTGCAAGAAAAGTAATTATGTTCTTTAAAAGAGCATAACCATTTTTAGAGCGCGTTTAGTAACAATGAAAGTAGTTGAATCGGCTTATTCTGTTGATTTATAAAAATTAAACTTAAAATATATTTTATTAATAAAATAAAGAAAAATTACATGTAAAATAATTAAAATGATTCTCTACATTAACTTCAACCAATACAACAAGAAAAGTAACGCTAACCTTATCTTTTTTATTACTCCCTCCGTCCCATAAAATAGTTCCCACAAAGATTTGGATCGAAGTTTAAGAAAGTGAAAATAAAGTGAAAATGTATGATTGTGGTCGAGTAAGAAAAAACTAAATGAATGTTAGTCACGTAAAACTTTCCAAAAAAGGAATTGAGAGCAATTTTTTGTGATGACCCCAAAAGAAAACTGAGAATTAATTTGCGGGAAAGATGAAGTATTACGCAATTCAATAAAGTTGATTGATAAACGGAAAACTGAGATAAAAGGAGCTCAACAAAAACGGGTGGTGGCAACGGGTGGTGGCAACTGGCGATAAACGCAATTCATCTTGGCTGTTTCTGCTTAGTTTCACATGGGTGCATCTCCTTCCCTTCTTTATTATACTCCCTCCGTCCCGGTCATTTCTTCCAATTTTCCTTTTTGGTCCGTCCCAATTAATTCTTCCAAATTCATTCACCTTTTTCTTACACAACTATAACCATACATTTTCACTTTATTCTCACTACCTAAATTTGCGATACCGGTCAAAATTGGAAGAAATGACCGGGACGGAGGGAGTATTATTTTTTCTTCTAAAAAACTTACTCTATATTTTACTTTGTGTCAAGTTAAGTTAGAACAGATTCTAAATGGAATATTGCAAGCTCATTTGTATTATTTGGACAAGCCCCTATATATAGAATTCAAAGAGATACGAAAGGTCTAAGTAAATATTCTTTCTCACTTCTTTGGAACTATATGGCATGACGAGAACAAACAAAAATTGGTACTCCCTCAGTCCCAAAAAGTATGATACATTTACATTTTGCACAAGTTTTAATAAAATTAACGGAATGGTATCACTATTCCTTTTTTACCCTTCGGTGGGTATATGTACGGTCATCACCACACTCGTAATTCTATAGCGGCAAAGTACGAAGTAATCATTGATTAATTTTACTATGCTACGGTTCAAAATTTGCACGTGTCATTAGATTGGTTTTCTTTTCCTTTGAATTGTCTTCTTCTTTTCATGAGTGGCACGTGTCTTCCTACTTATCCAGAAATACTCTCATAAATGCTTATCCAAGAATAATTGCATCCACTTAATTGCAAGTACTCCTATTTCTCATTTTCTCTCTTGGAAGAAGCATTTCTTTACAGAGTATGAGTAGGGTGGAGAAATTGCAAACTACTGGTCGATACAAGTTCAAGAAGCATAATTGTTTTGAATTTTTGGAACTGGCAGCTAGTTTTATGCAGACAATTGTTCTTTATGGTGTCTGTTTGGTGCCTATTTTTGCTTCTATGAATGTGTATTGTTTTATGCGAGTGTGACCTCTTTATGTCAATATCTAAACTTGTTAGCTTTTAACTAACCTTCCTTTCTTCTTTCAAAAAAAAAAACTAACATTCGTTTAAAAAAAGCTTTAACTAATCAAGAAGATAAAAGAGCATTAAATGTCCTTTGTACAATAGCAAACATGGCCTTTTCATGTGTCTATGTTTACCCCGTTATTAATACTCCAGTAGAGCTCAAACCGATTCTATTCAATTTAGCACAAGAATTCTAGGATGTAAAAGGAACATAATGGGACCCACTAATTAATAATGGCACAAAATTAAGAGTCATGGGTCCATCAATTAATAAATGACACGGGATTTATGTGTACAGCCTGAAGGGCAAGAGCGGAAGATAAAAAATTTATTTGAAAAGTGTTCATATTTTTTGGACAACCGTAAAAGGAAAATGCATCTTACAAAATGGAACGGAGGGAGTAGTATATAATTGCATTTTCAACATTTCTATGTAAAAAAGGTGTCACTATTTCACCATATTAAAGCACCTTCACCTTGATTTCCGTGCAAGCGCCGAGCAGGCTGTGCGCAAGTGTCGAGCGGGATTTACTCATTTACTTTTTCAAGTATGGAAGAGCTTATCTTTTGCTTTATTTCTGTAATTATTTAAGTATTTTTAAAAAAGTATGCAAAAATTAGAAGTTAATCCCCGTTCGTATAGTCCATGGGAAATGTTAAAAGTAGAATTCAAAGTCCTCTTCTATATAATTAGTCCCATTTGATATATTGGATGGAAAAGGAGCAAAATATAACTATTTCCGTTCAATTCATGGTGCTCACGTGGCTGATTAGAAAATGGCAACGTTTTGCCAGGTACAGTTGTGGACTCAAAGATATGCCACCCAGCTGAGTTTGAATTTTACATCTGTAGCCATGCTGGCAAAATGCGGACATGTTGTTACATAAAGAATTCAAAGAGACGAGAAAGGTCAAAGTCAATGGTCTATATCACTTCTGTGACGATAACAAACAAAAGGCCAGGTATTTTTTCATTTCTCTTTCCACATTCCATATTAGAAAGCGAAGTGGAGGAATCTATATTATAATTTTTACATGGAATAATATTAATTTAATCAGTGATCTATTTTGCATGCCCAGTGCACTGGATCCATAAATTTCTCTTTTCCGCATTGATTTTGTGTCTTTATTTGCCTACCATAAATGAATTAGATCTTGCAGTAAAAATAAAGAATGGCAAATACTTATAGTGCAAAACTTTCCTCTTCCTAGCGACAGCTACGCGTTAAGTAAAATGAACATGTTATCATAAATGTTAACTAATTGTGTCTAGTAAATTCCTTTCAAGGAAATTTCACATACCAAATATGCCGATCCGTGCGAGTGTCGAGCGGACTCCGTGTAATTATTTTTCGAGTATGGAGGATTTAATCTTCTTTGTTTCTTTAGTTATTTATTTATCTATAAAAATATTGAAAAAATTTAAAGTGAATTTTTGGCTAATCGTGTCGGGTTAATTGGGAGTGGAATATGATGAACAAGAAAATTGTTGATCCAGCAAAATTTGTCCTCCTACCAATGACAGCAGTGCATCTAGTAAGTTGGAACACAATCAAGTTTTTTAGTTTAAAGCAACTGATCGGTGTCTTTATGAGCGCAAAATGGAGCAAAGTATCACTAAGGTTGTTGAAATCGATAAACTTAACAAGGATAATTTAGTAGGTGAATTTGAAAGAAACTCACCATTGAACTTACTGCTATAGATGTTTGTGTTCTTCCACCACCAATGATCAAATAAAGTGAGAGTATGGGTACCTGCTTCCTGATAGCTTTGTTGATGTTCAGAAGAGGCACCAAACCCGCCTGTTCCCTTGCAATCACAAGCATCGCCGTCTGACTAATAAGAGAGTGACAGCTTTTTGCCAGGTACTGTTGTGGGTAGAAATACTTTTTCCACCATACAGAGTTTCATTTCTACCTTTGCAGCACTTATTGGGTCTGCGAAGGGCTTAGAATTCTAAACCCTTATCAGCCCTACCCGACTATATAAAAATAGACACATTAGTATTAATCAAAGTATTCAACTAGGCTGTTTATGCTTAGTTTAACATGAGTGCATTTCTTTCCCTTCTTTGTTATACTATTTTTTTCTTCTAAAAAACTTACTCTGTATTTTGCTTTGTGTCAAGTAAAGTTAGAACAGATTCTAAATGGAATATTGCAAGCTCATTTGTATTATTTGGACAAGCCCCTATATATAGAATTCAAACAGATACGAAAGGTCTAAGTAAATATTCTTTCTCACTTCTTTGGAACTATATGGCATGACGAGAACAAACAAAAACTGGTAGTATATAATTGCATTTTCAACATTTCTATGTAAAAAAGGAGTCGCTATTTCACCATATTAAAGAACCTTCACCTTGATTTTCGTGCAAGCGCCGAGCAGGCTGCGCGCAAGTGTCGAGCGGGATTTGCTCATTTACTTTTTCAAGTATGGAAGAGCTTATCTTTTGATTTATTTCTGTAATTATTTAAGTATCTCTAATAAAATATGCAAAAATTAGAAGTTGATCCCCTTTCGTGTAGTCCATGGGAAATGCTAAAAGTAGAATTAAAGTCCTCTTCTATATGGTAATTCATATTTGGTATATTTGATGGAAAATGAGCAAAATATAACTATTTCCGTTCCATTCATGGTGCTCACGTGGCTGATTAGAAAATGGCATCGTTTTGCCAAGTACAGTTGTGGACTCAAAGATATACCACCCAGCTGAGTTTGAATTTTACATCTGTAGCCATGCTGGCAAAATGAGGACATGTTGTTACATAAAGAATTCAAAGAGACGAGAAAGGTCAAAGTTAGTGGTCTATCTCACTTCTGTGACGATAACAAACAAAAGGCCGGGTATTTTTTCGTTTCTCTTTCCACATTCCATATTAGAAAGTGATGTGGAGGAATTTATATTATAATTTTGACATGGAATAGTATTAATTTAATCAGTGATCTATTTTGCATGCCCAATGCACTAGATCCATAAATTTCTCTTTTTCCGCATTGATTTTGTGTGTTTATTTGCATACCATAAATGAATTAGATCTTGCAGTAAAAATAAAGAATGACAAATACTTATAGTGCAAAGCTTTCCTCTTCCTAGTGACAGCTACACGTTAAGTAAAATGAACATGTAATCATAAATGCTAACTAATTGTGTCTAGTAAATTCATTTCAAGAAAATTTCACATAGCAAATATGCGGATCCGTGCGAGTGTC